GATATCGGACTGGAATTTGTTGATATACAATATCCTGTGTACTGGTGAAGAAGTTGCAGCCCCAGCCTTTTTCCAAATATGATTTTGGGTGTCGTTCTGGGGCTCAAGTACATTTCCACAAGGAGAATCGGCATGAGATGAGAAAGAATTTGATCGGTGTTCTTAAAATCTGTGAGTGGCCAGTTTTTTTGATGTTAATATCAAGTTAGTGCCTTAGAGTAAATGGCAGAAGGAAATCACAGATACGCTGTGAATCATGAAGCAAGATCTTTCCCCTGGAAAAGTCCTTGTTTGTAGTCGGGCAGGCTAGGTGGTGGCAGAGTGCTGTTTGTCAGAAGCAAATTTCAGGGATGGGAGGAGAGTAAGGAGGGTCCAGTGGCCACGACACAGGCACAGGAGTCTGGCAACTCTGACTTTCAGTCTTTGATTTCTCTGCTGCATATTCCTGGTACATTCAAGATTGAGATGTGCAAGTGCTGTAGTAAATTAGAGGTATAGTTAGTACTTTTGCTGTTAGGCAGGTGCCAAAGGAAATGAGTTGCAAACTGTACAGCCCTCTATCCTCCTTTACAGCCGCACTTCATGATAGCTTTCCTGAAAGCATTTCATGATTCTCCTGACTGGTGGCCCGGAATTAGGGAGGACAGTTTTGGATCCAAACCAAAGCTATAGGAGGAGCAAGGGATGTAACTGGAAGAAGACTAGGCAAAGAAGGAGCTGCCCAGGTGGGATTCCAGGCTGCAGAAACTCTGTTTTACGGTGAGGCATTCAGCTTTTGTTACAGGGCTCTGTGTGTGACTAAAGCATGTGAAAATCCATGTGCTGACAACACCACAGAAGAGGAAGAGGTTTCGAAAGATGCATCAATCTGACAGCAGGGGGGTACGCACTGCCGTCCCAGGTGGGCAGCACTGTTAGTAAACAGGATGCAGAAAAGATAAAAAGGAAAAGTAATTTTGGCACCGTTATTTCCACTTCTCCCATTACAAAAAAATCATGAACAAAATCTGCTTTGAAATAAAAAGCAAGCAGCTGTATAATATTACTACAAAGTACCTGAAGGAAGGATCATGATAGAATCAAACTGCCATGGAGAAAAGCAGTTATGGCTGTGGAAAAACAATCTTGGTGCTTTTCCTACTCAAATACAGGTATGTGGAGAAACACCACAGCATGGCAATGAGGTGATACTTGTCATTTGTGTGACAGAGACAAATTAGAATCCAGCCATCTCAGGGTGGGAACGATTTTTGTGAAAATTAATGACTTGATTAGAAGGAGAAATGAAGCTTCTTCAAGGGGACATGCAAATAAAGGAGGAATCACTAAAACTGTCACCTGATGTAAAGCGAACATTACACAAAGAAAGATTGGTGGGATATTGTACAAAGACAAATTTGATGTGATATTAATCATATAGCACCAGCGGGAGCAAAGGAGGAGAGGAAGGATTCAGCGCAGTACGTGTCTGACTTAGGGAGGTGTTTTCTGCTGAAGCAGGGAATAAGTATCCCATTCCCAGGTGAGCTGGGTGCCTCTTCTGCAGCCCCAGGCCAGGGTGCCACTCTCAGGTGGGATTGCCAAGCCTTGTATTTTGCTAGGTGGTGTTTCCCAATATCTCCAAGCCCAGTGGAAGAGATTTGCCTCCTTTCATCTAGAGGCAAGGGTAATAGAGAACCATTCATTTCAGCAAGTGCCTGTAGTTCCCCAATGACAAATTTGCAGAGCGTGGTGGGGTCTGTATTGGGTGATTTCTGCAACCTTTCAGGAGGAGTAGGGACACTGTATTTTAAATGACAAACAGTTGTAATCCCTGTTGGGAAGAAGCATATCAGGCTAAAACTGATCAAGTATTAAACCCAATTTTGCACTTAGGTTTGTTGCATTAAGAACCAAATCTACACGGGCAATTAGTTTCAGGTTCAAGCCCAACCTTACCTTCCTGGGGAAGGAACACTTTTGAGTACAAGCAAGGCAGCTAAACCAAAAGCGATGCTTTTCCTAAGCAGGAATATTACCTGCATTAATGGGTACAGACATGCAAGTAGTACGTTCACAGAAGGCTTTAGTTTGAGTTTGAGGGGTGCCTGAGAGGTTGTCCTGTTTTGTATAAGTCTAAATGATCTGTTAAGGTATGTTTTTCTTCTACTGTCTCATTTCCTTGGGTGTGGAGAGCCACAGACCCTTCCAGCCTGATGTACCTAGCACAATAGAATCTAAAGCTGTTTATCAAATGCTGTTTGTTCTCATCCACCACTACCAGTGGGAAGGACACTGGTGCCCAACCAGTTCTCTTGATGATGCATTTTGTCAAACACGTTTGATGGGAATTTGTCATGGCAAAATGAGGGATCTTGCAGAGACCTAACAGAAAATAAGAATCTAGTGCCATGCTGTAGCTGAATGTGACAAAAAGAGGTGTGGACATAAGCTAGTAAGTTCGTGACGTGGTTATCTCTGTTTCCTTGGCTGCTGAGCATTAGGTAGCACTAGTGACATCGAGCTAACTGTGTGCTCTCGGGATGGTGATGCTGGGGACAAGTAGGATGGATGTGTGCTGCTGGGAGGCATATTTTTGGCCCATCTATCTGCAGGTTCTGGCAGAAGCCCTGGAATAGTTTTCATACCTTGAGACACGTTTTTACAACAATATGGCTTAGATATTTTAAAATATAAGGAAAGCGTATGTTGCTGAGCATATGATAACTTTCCCCCAGGAAGTAGTGCTCTGCAGAGGTAGGATTTGTTGCATGGCTTTGGGGCAAGAGCCACCCTCTTTCATTTCCAGTTTCAGCCCACATGTTCTTGGTCTACCTACTTCAGAAAATGCCATTTTTACTGTTGGTGAGGAGCCTGAAACACTTGGTTTTCTAGCTGCATCACACCAACCTCCAAACATATTCCCTCCTGGCCAGGCATTGGCCTGTTGGGGTTGTTCAGCCTGGAGAAGAGAAGGCTCCTGGGAGACCTCATAGTGGCCTTCCAATACCTAAAGGGGGCCAACAGGAGAACTGGGGAAGGACTTTTTATGAGGGCTTGTAGTGATAGGATGAGGGGTCGTGGCTTTAAACTGGAAGAGGGTTTAGATTAGATATTAGGAAGAAATTTTTCACTCTTGAGGGTAGTGAGGCACTGGCACAGGTTGCCCAGGGAAGTTGTGGAAGCTCCATCTCTGGAGGTGTTCAAGGCCAGGCTGGATGGGGCTTTGAGCAACCTGGTCTAGTGGGAGGTGTCCCTGCCCATGGCAGGGGGGTTGGAACTCGATGATCTTCAAGGTCCTTTCCAACCTAAACCATTCTATGATTGCCACCTGGAATTCCCTCTGACTGCAAGAAGGCTACAGTATGTTCTCTTTTGCCAGAAAATACGTGTACTTTACTGGTCCATACAGGACACTTATTCCTCTGAGATGAGGGCAGTAGCTCCACGCAAAGCTATGAGAAGTCTTGTGAAAACCATTCTAAGCATGTGCGTGTGCAGTTTTCACACCAAATTTGACAGGCATACCTGGAGCTGTCTAGCTTGCCTTGCACACATGTCCTTTGTGTGCTCACATTTAGCATACAAACTGGATGTGTGTTTCTTTGCTTTTTCATGCTTTCAAAACCTGATCCTGTAGAGTCACTTTATCCTTTCTTTTTTGCTTGTTTATTTCTCGTAAGACGAAGCCAGCCATTGCTGTCCCTCCAGGAGCCGGGAAATACTCTGTTAATGGCAGGGTCCACTCATTCTCCAGCTAAGAATGTCCCTTGTTCTCCACCAAAAGCCTTTGAAGCCTCTACCTTTTTCCTCTTGTTTGAAAGTAGTCACTGGGACTGTCTTTATATTCCCCATGTATATTTAAACATAAATTGCATCTGACTGCGGTGACACTAATTAAGGCGGAGGCACTCAGATGCAGCCCCCCTTGCGGGGAGCACGGCCAATAAACCCACTGTGAATGGCAGGTGTTTCGACCACTTTAGACAACCGCAATTTCATAAAGTGTCCTTCTCCATCGCCTCGGTGAGAGGAGGGGACTGCCAGGCCTCTTCCAGGGAACCTGCTGCCAGGCAGGGACTGGGTGGCTTCGGGGAGCCCGGGGCTGGCACCCTGCACGTCCCCCACCCTGCTGGCATATCACCCCATCAAGGTTTTTTTCAAGGCTGCTGCCTCCCCTTTGTTGTAAACACGGATTTCCCTCGTCCCCCTTCCTAAGATATGAAAATATTTTGTATTATTCCAGTGATTTTATAATATCCCAGTTATGTGTTCCTGAGGTGTTTGACCAAATATTATTAAAACTCTGCAAGGGCTAATAATCCTGGAAGTAGCGCGACGCCTTCCTGTGACATTGAAATAATTTAGTAATTTTACAGTACATTTGAATTTCGGCGTCGCTCGGCCGCTCACTTTCCATTAACTTTGCCTGGAATTTCTTATGGCCATGCACACAAGCAAAAGTGTCAAGTTTCTCCTTCATGCTCCAAAACGCCACCTGAATCACAATTGTGCTGCAGCTAATTGTTATTAATTAAGCTGCTCCTAGCTGTTCCTAGCAGTCGTAGCTGGGTTGTGCTTTTTTGTGGTTGCGATAAAAAGAGAATGCATTTTGTAAGCATGGTATTAAGGAGGGAAAACAAGGGAGCCCTGCTCCGGGGATCTTCTCTGTGCCCTGTGAGGCGGTTTTAGGGTGGGTGTGGGTGTTTTTAAGGATGAGGCCAATGTCTCGATGAGCGGTGCAGAGCCAGGCTCGTTATCGTCATATTAGCTTCACTGACCTTGGCTGCCATTTACCCGTCACAGGCAGGCAGCTTCAAGGACGTTTTGCAAGGGGTAAATTTGCACTGAGCCGCAAATTTGCTCCGGCCGCACGTGCTCCCGCATCACTTAAGCACGCGCTGGAGCCAAAGCCCCAGGCACCAGGTTTGCCCAGGATCACATGCCGGGTGCCCTGTGCCCCCCGCCGGGGCTCCCCCTCCTGCCTCCCCCCCATTTCCCAGGTTCAACTGAGCCGGATCATGGAGTGGAGCAAGCAAGAGGAAGGTATTAATGAAATGGGGACCCCGGGAGCAGCCTCCTCGCAGAGGGCTTGCGTTGAGAAAATTGCTTCTTGGCCTTTTCTTCTTAATGAGGCTGTTAATAACATGCCTGTTGCTTTCTACCCGGTGACGAGGAGCAAGGTGCCTGTCATTCATCTGCCTTCCTTGGTGTTTGTTTATGAAAATAAAATCAGGTGGGGAGGTCTTCAGGCAGAAGCGCTGTCATCTTCTTGTGAGAGGCAGGAATATGAAGCTGCTTTTGGTCTGTGGCAATATGTCATCCGCGTCTTCCAAAAAAAAAAAGCAACCAGCCATCTGCGTGCCTTTTCCCTTTTCCCCCCCTTGCCTTGGGTTAAAAACCAGAAAACATTATTTTGGCAAATCACTGGGACTTGTTATTTTAAGAGTGAGCTAATGGTTACCGTTTGCAGGATAAAGGTGCACGTAAATGTCCTCTTAAGAGGTCAGGAATAGTCTTGGGAATTTTCCAAGTTGAAAAGGATCAGAGTATGGCTTGTGCACCAACATAAGAAATAAGCCCAAGGGCACAGGCTGGTGGTTGCTCTGAATTACTCATGTGTAGCCTCGATGGAGCAAATCAGCATGGAAAGAGAATCCCTTGGAGAAACTTCACAGGTTGTCAGGGTGGGAGTCTTCTGCACCATGCTCAGTCTCAGACCAATTTTCTCCGACCATTCTCTCCGCATGCTACTGGCTGAAGCTTTAATCTGACCATGGATCCTCACAGTGCTGCCACCGCTGTTCCTGGGGCAGTTCCAGTGTTGTACAAGGCATTGCCTTTCCTATATCCCAACAAATTCCTTGGTATTTTGCTGTTACGTGTCCATTCTTCTGCTGGCAGCGTTTGCAGAAAAAATGACCAAATATCAGATAGCAGCCTGAGCTGGGGCCTGAGAAGTTGGTGAATGGCATTATGGCCATTTGTAAGGTTAAACTCCTCACCCTGCTCTTCCAGAGTCTCTTATGACTCACTCCCAGGACTGCCATATTTCCCATAGCCTCCTTGATCCCTGGGGGAGGGCTGGCTGGTGGATTTGGGCAGTTCGATCCCCAGACAAGGTTTGTGCCTGTTCTGTATTGCTCTCTTTTTGCTAACACAGCTTTCTTTGCAACGTCTGCAGAGACCTGGCTGTCTGCCCTGGGGTGGGCATCTCTCTTCTTGCAGGTAAAACAATAATCAGCCCTCCACGGTTTCCGTATTTCAGTGGAAAAGAGCCAAGAAATAGCCACCCAGGCTCCAAAAAGACAAACCGGATTTTTTTTACATATTTATTTATTTATTTTTATATATATATATATATATGTAGGTGTGTGTGTGCGTATATGAGATTAACTACATGCGATGTGCTCCTATGTTCTGCATAGAGTTAGCAGCAGGGGAAAACCCATGGGATCACAGTGTTACTTCTGACTGATTTGTGAGTTGGTGCAAGCACAGAGGTGCATTTGCTGTCTCTGCTTCCTCCTGCCTTCCCCAATTCCCCGCCAAGGATGTGCAGTTTTGCCTGAATCGGCAGTTATTAAGGGAGGCAAGCTCCAGTACTGATTATTCAGTGATAAACCAGTCCTGCTGTTGCCAACTGGAAAATTCAAAACTAATGGTTCTTCTGCTCCTGGGATTTACCATTTGGAAGATACTTTATTGCTATCTTGTGACATTTCCCTGCACTTTTATGCTCATTTATATAACTATTTTCTTTGATTTATGGCAGCTTTTCTTCATGTATAACAGTGCCATAAATTGTGCAGCCCTACTTGCAATGGTTTTGAATTTGAGATATTCAGTAAACTGTGGGATGGGGGGAAAGGGTGGAAGCCTTTTGAAGAGGCTTTTGATCACAACCCCAGACAAAATAACCGGTTCTCTCTGTAGAAATTTGAAGCAGGCAGGAAAGTAAGTTGGTACAGTCTGTTTCTTGACTAGCCAGACAGTTGTGGTTGGGTGTTTTTTGTTAGATTTTGGTTTGGTGGTTGGTTGTTTGGGTTTTTTTTTAGTATAAAATGTAAGTTATTCATGTATGGTAAAAGGATGCATGAGGCCAAACCCACACAGTGATGACATTTGTGTGGTGGTGACATTTGTGTGGCAATCCCTGGGAGCCCTGTTACTTGAGGTCTGCAGAGGTTTTCAGAGGAGCAGCAAATTGATGTTCTTCTTTTCATAAACCTTTTCCTTTCTCTTCTGTTTCTCTTCATAAACCTGCTTTTTCACATGTTGTTATTTTCTAAGACCATCAAACAAACTCAGATTTCCAAGGAGTGTTCGGTGGCTGTCAGAGATCCAAAGCCTATCAAAGTCACTGGTCAGGCCAGTGAAATAAAGACCTAGGGTTTTGATTTTTTTGGCATCTTACTTTGTAGAGGAAGAGAAACAGCTCATTTAAAAATTGCTTTCTGAGTTCAGCTGTCAGAGAAGCTTTCTTTTGACCTTTACAAATTGATACCGTCACAATCAATGGGCAGAATTTTAAGGGCAGTCTCTGGGGCAGGGGGGTGGGAACAAACACAAACATTTATAAAATATATATGGTGTGCATTTTAAAAAGCCCGACAGAAAGAACAGATGGTATTAACAGAGAGCATATTTGAGCAAAGTTATCTATAAAGAATTCATAATACACAATTTTGACAAGACAGTTACTTAGAATTTACCTTTTGGGATGATTTCTGAAAGTACATGAAACAAAAAAAACAACAAATAAATATGCCTGAAGATAGTCCAGTGCAGCAATATGTTGGGTGAGGAAAACAATTAGAGATTTTGAAGTTGCTTTGCCAGATTTGACTGCAGGGGAAGTGCGTTTGAGGAGCAATTTCACAGCAACTTTGCCTCCCCCTATGCCCCCGTGCAGCCTTGGAAAGTGAAATCATTTACAAAGGCTTAGTAGGAATTGTGTGAAGAGGGGCAAGTTAGTCTGTGATTACAGCCACCGGCTCACTCATTTTTAAAGCATCAATGAGACAAACCAAGAAGCTCACCAAATGCAGACACGCACTCCTCATCACCCAGGTAAAACAGGTAGAAGCTTCAGCACTGCAGGTATTTTCCCGGAATATACAGCTCATGTACAATGAGGTCATCAATTCAAATGTAAGTCCTGCATCTGCAGTTTATACCTACAGCCTCAGTAAGGTTAAAAAGCAGTTCCTTTACTTTCTTCACGGGAAAGCTTCTTAGTGGCAGAGGTATGGTTCGTATGGCATGACCATATCCAAATATGGCCACTGTGCTGCTGTTCACCAGAGCTGAAGCCCTCGGCAGCCTTGGAAGAATTTAGTGCGTGGTCAGGCTCTTATTTAGCTTTTTATTTTTATTATGTTTAATTTAAATTGGCAATCCAGGACTTGGTTTAAAACATGCAGGTTTGAGAAAGTGCGAGGTTGGAGTTCGTGTACACCTCCACTCCTGAGTGTGCCCGGCAGCAATGCCATATGTGCTCAGCAACCTCTACGAAGCTAATCAGCTGAAATGTGCATGAACTACAAGAGATGCAAGATTGTCTGCGGCAGATGATACTAGTTTAAGATTAATCTCTATGTTTTCATACATAGCGTATAGAACTAAAAAGGTTCTTGCATAGACTTTAATTAATCGAAAGATCGTTTTTCCCACCTATAAACTGATACCTGAAAGCACTTGGTTTAGTAACATAGGTTTTATTACTTGGTTTGGCCACAGACAATTAGGAAAATAAGGATGGCTTGTGTAAGAGAGGACTTTAGATTAATTCTTTGACTTGATGACCTTAATGTATATGACTGCCACAGACCCCAGGATGTGGTCCCTGTTCCCGGGTCCAGCATGTTTTGGCTCCAGATGAAGTGCAGTGTTCACTCCATGGGCCCAGCCAGCTTCGGCGCAGCCCCTACCTCTCCCTGCAACGCCAATCCCCTCATCTGTAGTTCTTCCAGGTTTAAATAATTACTATTTCAGCTGTCTTACATGAGCCGAATTCTCCTGTCTGCTTGACAGGGTTATCGTGTTGCTTGAGAGCCTGTTATTTTCATCAATGAAAAATAAACTGCGTGCAGTTTCACCTTGATAGACCTATGCATATTGGCTAAAATGGGGTAGTTTCTTTAATCGCGTTCTCCTGCATTGCACAGTCACCTTGAAACACTTGGGCAAAGCAGCTCTGGAATGTTGGATTTACTCTTGCCTGGTTGATGGGGACACCAAAGCCCTGGCGTGGCCATCTCAGGTGCTCCTCATGAGGTGTTGGTTTTCTTTATTGCCCAAATGTTTTTCCAGGGACTTTTTGTTTAAGCCCCTCTACAGTTTTGTCTTGTACGGTTGAAATTTCATAGCTATTTTAATCGTTTTATTAGGTGGTATTTGGGTTATGTGATAATTACTAATGTAATGTGAGAGAAATTTCTGTGGGAGATCTTGGGGAAGTACCTTTTTTTTTTTTTTAAGTGTCGCAAGTGAGTTATGCTTACCCTGTAATGGCAGTTGCTGTGTGCTTTAGTGGTGACTAATTACCTGCAGTTCCATTAGCAGATACAAAAGCACCTGTCCCACCTACCCTGTCTGAGCTGTATCTTTTACATAAACAGTGCTTAAATATTAGTAAGTAGGATCTGAGGGCTTGTGTGCATTTTGCCAAGTGTATTTTAAATATTGTACAGGCAGCGAGGACTTCAATCCCATTCCCATCGCAGCTCCCGCTGGATTTCTCGGGCTGAGAATCAGGCAGAAGCTGAATGAATGCGCTCCCTTGTGCACGCACAAACTCGGTGTGTTTGTACAATGTTAATTAAAATGCATTTAAGTTGAGTGAATGCTTGCGGTGTTCAGGGGCCCTCTGGGGAAGGAAAAAAAAAAAAAGAAAGGCAGGCAGGCAAAGGCCCCCGGCTGTTGTGGAGCCGCATGAGTCCCGGTGGAGCAGCAGGAGCTGCTGGGGAAGGCGGCCACTGCTGCAGCGCCGTGGCAGTGCTCTTTGCAAGCTGAGCACCCCTGGGCCCCCCAGAAGAGCACTGTACTGGGGAAGGAGCCCTTCATGTCCCCAGCAAAGCAGCCTGGTTTGTGAGCTGGGAAGTAATTTTGGGCCAGCCTCACAGCAGATGTTATTGGCATCCCTCGCTAAATTGATTTGCGGTGAAGGCACATGTGCAAAAACCAGTCTAAGTGCCTGGGACCTCTCAGCTCCCCCCACTCCTACCCGTGCATGTGTTCATCTGGGCTTGTGGTTGGTGCTCCATCATCTTCCCCCCACTTCTTCCCCTGGCATTGAAAAA